GACACAACAGCACTCTACCAAGGGCGACATAGTGAGACTCTGTCTCTAAAAAAAAAAAAGAAATGACAAGTAACCAGGGCAGTACATGTTTGGTCAAGTGAGACAATGCTAAATAGGAAGTGTGCCAGGGACTTAGGGGGAGAGAGCACAATGCCCTGGGATGGCTGAGATCCCCGGGAAGAAGTTGGACCTGGACCCCAGACCTGAATGCTGGATGGTACTTGGTGGAGAAGGACAAGAGAAACTGTCTGGGTTCTTGTGGACAAGGCACAGCAGGAAGCACATAAGTGGTAGTCAAGGCACTGCAATTAGCAGCAGATTACTATCTTCCTGTCACTGTACTGCAGGGCCCTTCCACAAGCTCAACTAAGCATAGGAACAAATGGCCTTTGGGGAGTTTCTCAGTAATTCCTACTACAAGTAAATCAATATTGGGTGTTGCAGAGTATGGGGAAGAGTACAAAATATACTCCCTGCCCTCAAGGATATAAAGAATTTGTGTCCTATCAAATGTCCGTGAAGATTCTCATAAAAGGCAGTGGGCTCTGGGCAGAGTGAACAAGTCTAAGGAAAATTGGATTTGCTATATATCAAGATGTTCCATTTGGGAGTGGTCCAAAAGGTCTTTCAGACTCTGCAGTTTTCTTCTCAGAACTGGTTCCCAGCTATATTCTCCAGTCTTCCCAGCATATTCCTTCATACGGAAGCTTGTCTGTAGCCAGTCCCTAGCTCAGAATCAGAAGCCAAAGTAACTGCAGATTATACTAGTAATTTGCCCTCCCGCCGTGGGGGCAACTGAATAACTACCCAACCAATGAGTGGTCTCAGACTGTGCAAATAATCCTGGAAAGGAAGATGTACCAGGTCAAGAATAAAAGAACCAAAACAAGGCAATGCATGTAGATAATTTCTAAATTAGTCAACCATGGGCAAAGGGAAATTTGGAAATCTTTACTTGGCCCAAGAGAAACCTCATCCTGGCCCTTAAGGCCCCAGTAATTGCTGAGTTAAAGGTAGGAGTTGAGTGGTGCCTGAGACAAAATGAAAATAAACTTATCTTAGGCATCCTCACAATTGACAACATTGCTATCTCCATGAAGCAACAGCCTGGAGAAGTGCAGGAATTCTCAAAGTTGCACAAGCTGAGCTGCTTCTCATATGACAGAATTGGCAGCTGCCTGTCAGTCACTTCACGGCGAGTCACAGGGACACCAGGCAGAGAAGGGGCTACTTGGGTCAGCTGGAGAGCACAGGACTCCAGACTCTGGGGGTGTCAGCAGACACTGTGACCCATTTGACCCTCTGCCTCCTCACAGAACTGAAGGCCAAATGCATGATGAAAAGGGGATCTCTGGAGACTCGAGGTTATGGGCTGTGACTTTCTGGTTGGAAAACCTCTTTTCAAGATAAAAACATACCAAAGATCATTTGGAAGTACTTCGAAGAATGAATCACATACTCTGACCTTATTATAGACGAAACCATGGATACATTTCTGGTAACAGCTGATGCATAATCCTTGCCACTCTAGAAGGACTTGTACAGCTGGAGTGGAAAAGATTGTTCAAAACTACAAACTAACAAACATCAATCAATCAATCAATAGGCAAAGACACAGCCACACACCATCTTATGATTCTTTATTTAAAGGTCTTATCACTGAACCAGGTCACCACATAATCAAACAGGAAAATGCTACTGAAACTTGATAGTTTTGACTGGTGGCCATCAGTCTTGGATGTTAACAAAAATGTTTGCTGTTGTTTTTAACCAAGCAGTGTGTACTTCAGCCTTCGTGTTAATTCAGAAAACTTCATTTCCTTACACAGCGGGCTCTGAAGTGAAGCTGAAGAGAGCACAACTCTCACTGGGTTAACACTCCCAAGGGAATGGAGCTGACCAAATAGCCCATGGTGAGGTGTCCCAAAGGAAGACACCACATGTGGAATCTGGGTGTTGAGAAAGCCGATGATTTTTCTTCATGCTACTCTTTTAAAAGAACTATGCAGTAACTTTCCAAACAATGGAATGAGGTTTTAACACTCTAGGTTACAGTTACTAAAGCTGTTAGAAGAAATATCTGGCAATGCTATCTAAATGCATACCAATTTTTATCTAGCCTAAATGTAAGAGACATGGTTCAATGTTAAAGATATTTGTTATTCTAGAAAAAAAAGTGGTGAGCAGACACAGATTGGCAAAGGGCAAACAGATGACCCTAATAAAGTCCCTTATTTCCTCCACACTGTGTAAACCACGCCAGGACAAATGTGTTGCCAGGATCGTGCAAGAACCTGTGAAAATCCCCAAGTCACACTGTCTCAGGGTGACTTTGAAGAAAAAGCACTTGTCCTTTTTTTTTCTTTTTTGAGACAGAGTCTTGCTCTATCATCCTGTGTAGGGTACCAGGGCATCATAGCTCACTGTACCCTTAAATTCTTGGGCTCAAGCAATCCTCTTGCTTTAGCCTTCTGTATCTGGCTGTCTTTTCTATTTTTAGTAGGGATGGAGTCTTGCTCTTGCTCAAGCTGGTCTGGAATTCCTGAGCTCAAGCAATCCACCTATCTTGGCCTCCCAGAGTGCTGGGATTATAGGCGTGAGCCACCATGCCTGGCAGTACTTGTCCTTTTGATCTCTCCAAAAGGTTTACGTATTTTCATGGCCTCTTCTTTGTGTACCTCTAAACCAAACAAAGGCATGTGGGAGCATTCACTGGTTACCCAAGAGATGGCAATGAAATAGCCCTATCTTTGGTTCAGCAGCGGTTCTGTGAAAGCATCATTTAAAGCACTGGACTGGACTAGGGAATCAAGACCTTTGGGCTAGGTTCCCAACTTTTTCTCTTGTCTACTGAGTATTGTTTCTTCCTTTCCTCCTTTGTTTTTTTCATTCAACAAATAAGCATTCAACACCTATGTGCTAAGGTCAGTGCTAGGTGCTGTGTCTACAGGAGGGAACAAGAGTATTAGATAAAGTCCCTTTCACAGAACATACATTCTAACTGGGGAGATGAATGACTTCAGATAAAGGTTAGTACTAGGAAGAAAATAGAGCAAGTCACAGAACTCAGGGAGGGAGCAGGACAGAGAAGAGGGGAAGAAAAGCCCTACTTTAGATAGTCTGGGAAGAGCTCCAGGAAGAGGTGACAGCTCAGGAGAGATCCAAATGATAAGCAAAAGATGTGAGGGAAAAGCTTTCTAGGCAGAAGGAACAGATACGAAGGCTCTGAGAGAGAAAGAGGGAAAAGACTGAAGTGGCCAAGAGTGGGTGAAGAGGAGAGAATGGACGAAGACAGGAGAGGTGAAGGGGCTGTAGAACCTAGGGCACTGCGTGTCAAGGGAAAATGCTCTTACTAACCAAAGTGAGCTGAGAAACCACTCGAGAGTTTAAGCAGGACCTACACCATCTCTGGGGCAGATAACGTGCAAGAAGGCTACTTCACAGAGAATGATGAACATATTCTCTAGCAAGGGCCTCTGGGACCAGGGCTTGAGGTACATCTCCAGGTCATCCTGGGGCCAAACTTTTACAAGCTGACTAATCCGTACCATCTCCTCCAGCCCAACCCTCTGGTATTAGAGTCCCCTGGACAGTATCACAGACTTAGGTCCACACTCAGACTATTTGGGATGGACTCATACCCCTCTGACAGCAACATTAAAAAGTTCTTCCTTATACCTAGCCAAAATCCGATTCCTTATGGTGTTTAGTCATTTGCCTCCAGATGCCCTTCTGTGCTCTACCACCAGCTATTATACCCCAAGAATCCCTTTGTAGGCAGGTCACATCAGTTTCCTTCAGTCATTCATTTGACTTTCCTAACTTTTCATAAAATCGAAAATTCCAAATAGTCCCAAAAGCAGAGCGAAATATCATTAACAAATCTTTGCTAACCAATAAGCAGCTTCAACAAGCATCAGTTCATGACCAGTTTTGCTTTCAACTGACAGTTTGATTTCCTTCACCAACATGGTCATTACATTTGCCCTACAGGTTGCCTGGCCAGCTGAGGGTACTAGGAGCTCACTTACCTGAGACAGCACATGTCCACTAATATAGCCTGGCAATCCTATTATGTATGTGGTGGCCAGGCTGGTGCTTCACAGAGTGAATTCAGTCAACTGAAAACAGCCCATCAGAAGTTGTACGGGTAGATTTTTAGATCCAGGCATGAGGATTTATGCTTCTTTCAGTGATTTTCATCTTATGAGACTTAGCCTATTCCTTTATGTCACAAGTGGCCTTATGGACCCTGACTCTCTGATATTTACCATTCCTCCCAGCTTTTGTTGACACCGCTAAAATTTAGAAAAAAAAGAGAAAGAATATGAATATGGATGGTAATAAATTACAAAAAGAGTTTACAGCTGGGGAGGATCAGAGAAAACTCCTTATTCTAGATGAGAAAACCAAGACTCATAGAACTACTATGTGGCCTAAGGCCACCCACTGGGTGATGGCAGGTTCAGCTGGAGCCTGGCCTCATGCTTACTGCTTGTCCTGCTATACCCATTAGCTCTCTAACTGCTCAGAAAGAGGTGCTCTCTGAGAATTACAAGTCCTCCCTTAGCAGACTGATATCTTTTGGCCACTGCAAGTTGATTTCTGATCAACTATCAACAATCAGCCCCTTGCTCGGCAAACACCTATTGGGTGCCAGGCCCCACTCTCTGCCAGGCTTTTCCATCCCCATGACTTTCCAAATGTCTCCCACCTACAGAGATTAGGTTAGGAAGCATTTTTCTCTGCTCCTAGTCAACTCCTGCTGTGTGTAGGACGATGTAACTGAATTAGCTAGGTATTCAAGAAAGTTCATAAATAATAAACAATTTGCATATATTAGAAATCAGAGTCTGTTATTAAAAAGCCACACAATATTTTAGAGAAAATGCTTAACAAAACATATATCTTAAAAATTCAGCACTCTAGAAGGCTCTTTACATTTGTTTCCATTTGAGAAACAAAGAAAATGGGTCATAATTATAGACATAACTTCATATAATAATTTGGATAATGTGTAAGAAGCATCATGATGTTTTTTGGACATTTCCCTTTGTGGCTAACCAACCACACACTGAGGAGGGACCAAAGCTCAGATGTGCATAGCTCAGGGAGCCTCCTAACAGAGTAACAGTGCCCTCAGGGATTTTCTTTCCTTTAGAAGACACGGGGAGTAGGAATGAACTTGGGAGCATCATCAAAAAGTACACAACCTGGCTTCTTAGCCAGTCTGCTGGCACTATCAACTATCAAACCATTTGCTCCTTTTTGCAAGAGGTGCACCTTTAGAAGGTCCCAACAATTTCTGCTTATATTGTTCAACCAGCTGGTTGAAGCGGGTTTCTGTCTTATTTCCTTTAGCTTTTTTCTTAGGTACCTACAAATGGAAGGAAAAGAAACATAAGACAATCAATTTCAAACATTAAATATCACTTTAGCCTTAAGCCACCCAAGAAAGAAAATACATAGGTACACAGATCATGTCCACCAAGAAGAGGTGGGCTTCCAGAGAGAGATTCTTAGAGAGAAAAATTCAAAAACAATCATCCATTGGTAAGAAGTCTGACCAAGAACGCATAGGAGCAGGGCCCACACCTAACACTCTGTGTGGGTGATTTGAGGCCTCCCCCACTGCAGATTCCAAATGCTCACTTTAATCTCAGATTGACAGATGAGCCAGTCCAGAGTTTGGACATTTTCATTGCCTATTTCCTCACCGAGAACACTGCTTAAGAGATTTCAGAGATTGAGGAACTTTACCTAACAAATGCAATCAGTGTAACCTGGTTTCACTGTTGGGGTTTCAATGAATCCCCAACAATAAAAAAAACAAAAAGAGATTTCGGAGATCTCTATAATATAGTATGGTATAGGTCAGAAACCTACTATAGACAGCTTTTTTTTTGGAGATAAAGTCTCACTAAGTGGCCCTTGGTAGAGTGCTGTAGTGTCACAGCTCACAGCAACTTCAAACTCTTGGGCTTAAGCAATTCTCTTGCCTCAGCCTCCCAAGTAGCCGGGACTACAGGCGCCTGCCACAACGCCTGGCTGTTTTTTGGTTGTAGCTGTCATTGCTGTTTGGCAGGGTTCGAACTCGCCAGCCCTGGTGTATGTGGCTGGCACCCTAGCCACTGAGCTACAGGCACAGAGCCCACAGACAGATTTCTTGAGTAAGATAAGAAGCTAATGTCTCCTTAATCCTTAAAGGAAAGAGACTAGAGAAGTGGAGAAGGAAGCCTGACTTCAAATGCTCAAGAACGTGGGACCACCATTTTCTACTAAAAGGAGGTAGGTAGGATTCCTTGGAAAACTGGCTAATGCTAGAACTGGGGAAGAAGTATCTATGAGATAAGCCTGGGACTTCTTGTTGTACAAGAAGGCAAGGACATTACCAAAGACAAATAAGGTTACGTCAGGACACAGGAGCCAATCTGAATGGGCTTTTGCTGGTCTAAGATGGGATAAGAATAATGACTACATTTGAAACACATCAAGTACAAAAACCTCAAGATTTCATAATACTAAAAAAATTTTACTGGTCACCACAAGAGGTTAGTAGGGCAATAGCTCATTACTCTGGGAAATGAGAAAAAATCAAGTATTATGTTTATCTTGCCTTTCCTGTACAAAAGGCAGGATATTTTATGACAAATAAATAATTGACAAGGGAAGATTCCTCCTAGAGTTTTACTAAAAAATTCAAAAGGACAGAATTAGAAAATCATCATTCTGTAACCCATGATGAAATAATGAATCTAGATAACACTCAGCAGTGGTTGCTAAAGCCATTAAGTAAAAGGCTGATTGAAAAGGAACTTTTTCAATGCAGGGAAAGGCAGACAACCCCAAATCTACTGATCAATCTTACTATCACTATAAATGTGCAAGCAGGTAGTATATGTCTCATGTGATGCAAGGAAACACACAGCACCACTTAGGACATTGTCTAGAAAACTGAACTTGACCAAGCCTTCAGATCTAACTACCAATTGACAGGTAATATGGGATGTCACAGGAATAAGTCAAGTGATACAAGGAAGCAAACAGCTAAATTCAAAATGTAATAGATTCTAACAGGCAAATAACCTGGTTTTTCAAATAAATTAATAGCATGGAATAAAGGGGAGTGTAAGGAAGAGTGGAAATTATGGAAAAAAGATTTAAGAAATATAAAACTAATGTAATTTTCAGATGTTGGATCCAATTTATATTAACCATAATAAAATTTTTTGAGGCAATTAGGAAAATTTTAATAAGGGCTGTGTGGTAGGTAATATACCTCATTTCCATATGAGGTACTTTTTTTTTTTTGAGACAGAGTCTCACTTTGTCAACCCCAGTAGAGTTGCCATGTCATTATAGCTCACAGCAACCTTAAACTCTTGGGCTCAAGCAATTCTCTTGCCTCAGGCTCCCAAGTAGCGGAGATTATAGGCGCCCGCCACAATACCCAGGTATTTGTAGAGACGCAGTCTCACTCCAGCTCAGAGCTGGTCTCCAACTTGTGAGCTCAGATGACCTGCCCGCCTTGGCCTCCCAGAGTGCTGGGATTACAGGTGTGAACCACCGTGCCCAGCCATGAGGTATATTTTAATATGTGAAGTTGGGTTTGTTTTCATATACTCCAGTGGGGGCAGTACGTATGAGGAAGGTAAAGCATGGTAACTGCTAAAGCAGAGTAGAAGATATACGGGGGCTCATTTTACGTTTTTCTCTACTTATATGACTGTGGACTTCAATATCCTCTAAAATTCTACAGTCCTGCATGGAGCTGCAATGCAGAAGTCCTTTCTTTTTGCCCAATTAAGCAAGATATGAAAGTGGCTGCCAGCTTGGCAAAACTCACCTGCTTGGAAGATAATTGCTGTTTCTCTTGCCTCCACTGGTTTTTCTGGAGCTTTGGCTTTTTGGGGGGGAGGGATTTCATTTTACCTTTGTCCCGCAACCTGAAATAAGATGGCCAAGTGTTACCCAGAGTACTCCTCTAATTGATACCCCACCCCTTGGTTCTCTAAGCTCAAGAAATAAATTTACTTTTTGTATACCAGCTTTGTTTTTTTTTTTTTTTTTTGAGATAGAGTCTGTTGCCCTGGATAGAGTGCTGTGGCATCATAGCACATAGCAATTTCGAACTCTTGGGTTTTACACTAGCCCTTTCTAGGCCCGTAAGTTAAATTATTCTAAAGAGCTATACTGCAAAAGACTACCTACCATAAGCTCAACATTTTTGTGTACTTAATGTTTGTGGGTTTTTTGTTTGTTGTTTTGCTTGAAACTTCTTAAAAACTTTCATTTATTTAACAAATATTTTGTAAAGATCTACTCTGGTACATAGTGATTATCTGTTGCCCCAAACAGAAACTACAGGTAAACCTCAAACATGTGGCCTCACAGCTGACAGACATGGTCATCTGGAAAGGAGGAAAATCTTCAAAAGAGGGGAAAAAATAGTACAACAGCCTGCCATGAAGGCTCCTCTGTGGTCCCCGCTGCCATTTGCCATTAGAGTGACAACTCTGCTGATGTAGAGACTTGTGTGTTAACCCTTCATTAGAACAAGCACAGCACAAAGCTTCCCCTTCATCCAACCACTCGGAAGCCACCACCATTTCATGCCACTCTCCTCCGTCTCACCTGATCTTGGGGCCCCGGTGTGAAGGGAGTGCCAGGATCTTTCTTCTCTTCTTTCCATCAGGCAGCTCTACCTGCTCCACTTCAGCCCTGGTCTGGAACCCCGCCCATGAGGTGGAGCCTGCCTTCCCCTTCTGCTCTGGGGGAGGCTTGCTTTGTTCCTTTGTGTGGTTTTGAGCTGCCTTCTGTTGCTGGTCTTTCCTAGGTTGGCCTTTCTGGGGCTCACTGGTTGCAGGCTTGGATTTCATTTTTTGCTGCATAAAACAAAATGCCATCTGGTTTCTGGAAACTGGATGAGGTTTTTTTGATGTAAATACTCAGCAAAAGCAGACCTTCATTTGAGCTGGGTGAAAAAAGGGGAACTTTTCCCTGCCACTGTTGGAGACTACAGAAAAGTAAGTGCAAGTTCACAAGCCCTGTCATAGTAACAAATGGTTACTGACTAGGGGACACAATAACTATTCTTGTCTCACAACACAGAAATAAAGAAGAGTACACACTCAAGACTCAAAAGCCAATAGAGTGGAATAATTACAAAAAGGTGTGATATACGTATAAGGAGAAGAAAGAATGCACCAGAAGAAATAACTGAAGTAATGAGGACTGAGAATTTTTCAAAATTAACAATAGACATTAAACCACAGAGTTAGGAAAATACTAAAAACTTACATCAAACAAGATAAATACCAATCTATCTATACTATTAATACCTGGCCATATCATTGAAAGAAGCCAGAGGACAAAAAAATTTACCTACCAAAGAATATAAGGTTCTTAACATAAGGTTATGTTGAATTTCTCTTTAGAAACCACATAAACAAGAAGAGAGTAGAATATTTAATTCTGAAAGAGAAAAGTCACCAATGAAATTATCCTTCAAAAAATGAAGGAGAAATAAAGACTTTCTCAGATGAACAAAAATTAAGAGAAATCTGTCACCAGAAGACTTGTCTTGCAGGAAATGCAAAACGAATTTCTTTAAAGAGAAGAAAAATGACATGGATCAGAAACTCAGATTTCCACAGAGCGTAGACAGCATAGAGGAGGAATACATAAAGTAAAGAAGACAAGAAAAAGGAAACGCTGGGCATAAAGGATGTTACAGATTTATTTGCACTGAAGTGGAAGAAAAGATTCAAGTGAAATTAATGTAATGATAAGTGTTTGTTATTCTGCCTTTTCATCTTAAAAATCCAGATGGCACCTTGACACAAACAACACTTTCTACATGCCTACTATGTGCCAGTCTGTAAATGGTGAGGATACAGAAGGAAAGAAGGAAAGGTATTTGCCTTTCAGGACCCACAGTGTAGTGGAGAAAAGACAGGCATATGCAAATAAAGCAAAGTAAAAAACCTTAACAGTTTAGGGAAGTTCATGAAAGGCCAAGGTTTATCATCTCTTTTGCTACTTTAAAAGGATCACTTAATCTGAATATGGAAAGTGAATAGAACTATCTTTTTGAATAAAAAAAAGGGGGGGTATTTTTATACAGAAAGGGCAGTGTGTACTTAAGTATAGACAACAAATAAAACAATTTGGATATTACAAAAAAAAAGCCAGTAGCTTTAAAATCATCTCTCAAACAATGTTTGAAGGTAATGAACAATTCTGTTATTCAGGATAACAAAATTGCCTTAAACAATAATCAGATCCCAGGTTTTCCAACCCAGGACCATTATATTAACATTGCTCATTGAAATTCCAAAATTGCGTATCTACTAATCATGCTCTTGGTATCCACCACAAAGACTACAAATGTGTGCTATATATGCAAGTTAAGGTACAATATTAATGAGAACGCTAAGAGTTACAGAGTTCAGAATAATTTAGCCCTATATGTCCTGGAGCAAGTTGGATAAGAGAATGAGAACTGACTGTGTACTGACCATGTAGTATGCTGGACAACAGACATGTATTATCTCTTTTCACACTCATCAATCACGTGAAGCAGATGTTATTTATACATTGTACAAACTAAAGGGCAGAAAGATGGTAACTTGCCAAGGAACATGTAGCAAGAAAGGGGCACAGCCAGAGTGTGAACATAAGTATGCTTGTTTCCAAAGTCTCTGCTCTTCCCTCTATTAGTTTAAAAACTGTACTAAAACAGGCATCACACTTCTAGAGCCATCTGAGAAGAAAATAGAAATTATGTCACTGAAATCTACAAATAATGTAAAACCTTAACCTCACCATTAATTCTGCCATGTCCCCTCACTGTACAAGAACTGCTAACTGTTAATAACAAGGTCTGCTCCTTCTCCCTTTTCTTTCTCTTCTCCTGTGGCACTACCACAGAAGGGCCTAGAGAGAAGACCTGGAGAAGCTTAGGGAACTGGCAGTAAAAGGTAACAAAAACCCTAACTAGGTAGAGAACTACTCTAACACTATAGAAGCACAAACTGAACAAAACAGTAACAGACACATTTAGTTATTTCCTTCAAAAAAAAAAAAAGAAAGAAAGAAAGAAAGAAAAAAGAACCATTTAAATTCTATACCAGGCTGCGCTGGATCCTTAGTTCCTTTATTTTAAGTTTCCTTCGATCTTCCAAAGAGAATTCCACTATTGGTCTCTGTGTCAGAGGAAGACAAAATGTCATTCATTAGACTACTTTATCTATGAGTGCAATGAGCTGAGGTGTCCTCCTGCTGCCCTTTTCATTTTTCAAATCAGAGTTGTTGCTCACTTCCTCAACTTAAGAATCAACACTCATATTCCCTCCCATAGTCCCCACTTCCACTTGCTACTCTTTCCCACCATTCAAATGTCAGAGGACACCGACATGAAGGAGAAGACTGGCTTTCTGTAAGGGGTCCCCAAGAAACAGGTCTCCCAGCGAATGAGGCTCACCTTCTGAGGCCCAAAGATTTCTGGGTTGTTGTTGATATGGCGGAGGGCTCGGAGGGCATGCTCGTGCTCCTGGAAGTCTGCAAAGGCATAGCCCAGGGACTGACCCTTTGTGTTCCCATGAACTCCTTTAAGGTCTCGCATTACCCTACACTATGAGTAGAACAAAATAATAATAATAAGCAATTATTACAGAATGAGAAGGCTTTCCTGACATGAACTGCTTTAATAGATTCAATAAGAAATTAGCTTATTGGCTGGGCGCAGTGGCTCATGCCTATAATCCCAGCACTTGGGATGCTGAGGTGGGTGGATTGCCTGAGTTCATAGGTTCGAGACCAACTGAGCCAGAGCAAGACCTCATCTCAAAAAAATCACTGGGTGTTGTGGCAGGTGCCTGAGGCAAAAGAATTGCTTAAGCCCAGGAGTTTGAGGTTGTGTGAGGTATGACCCCACAGCACTCTACTTAGGATAACAAAGTGAGACTCTGTCTCAAAAAAAAAAAAAAAAAAGAAATCAGGTTATTGAAACAGAATCATTTATACCACTGTTACAAAAACCGTACTGATAACATGAGTGTCCCTCTTATTAGAATGTATCTACCGAGTGCACAAAATTATTAAGTTGGTATTTTATTGCTTTTTAAGAGTGTATAGACACCAACAGAGAACCACAAATCACAAAAATGAAATAAAACTTTTCAAGGAAAATTTATAATAGTTAACTATTCATAAAATATACAAGTTGAGAGGTATATGGTACTCTAACTTGTATAACAATTTATCACTGAGGATGGAGTACTGAAAAAGGGCTTCTGGAAGAAATTATTGAAGAAGGGAAGACAGCAGGCCTGATGCCTTTAAATAAGAAACACATTTCAGGTATGGGGAAAAGCCTCCCCAACATAAAGCCTCAAAGATAACAAGAGAAGTTTCAATTCTCTTTGCCTGGAACTCAGATCCCCTCTGATGTGATTTTCTTCTTCTTCTTCTTCTTTTTTTTTTTTTTTTGAGACAGAGTCTCAAACTGTCACCCTGGGTAGAGCTTATAGCAACCTCCAACTCTTGGGCCCAAGTAATCCTCTTGCCTCAGTTTTTCTATTTTTAGGCAAGACAGGGTCTTACTTTTTGCTCAGGTTGGTCTTGAACCCGTAAGCTCAAGCTATCCACCCACCTCGGCCTCCCAGAGCGCTAGGATTACAGGCGTGAGGCCACTATGCCTGGCTTCTCTGATGTGATTTTCCCCTAAATTTTTAAGATATGGCAGTGTCCCAGAGTGCTGAAGTACGGCAGAATATTTTGAGAAAATTTATAAGTGATTACTCCTGGAAGGTGTCATTCTCCTCGAATGGAGAAAGTTTAGGTATTGGGGACACTTGGATATCACATTTGGTTTATAGCCACTATCTATTTAGAGCCTAAAGCTGTCGTGCACTGCAAGAGAATCAAGAGAAATGAGGTTCCTGTCCTCAAGACACTATCTTACTGAGACACTATACTTAAACACATGAAAGAATTAAGAGAAAAATTCAATATAATGCAAATATTGTAGAATGCATATAAATTTCTCTAAATCGAATAAATACAAACAAACAAAGTTCTGGCTACTTTTGCAGAGAATAATAAAGTCCATTGTCTCTGAAAAAAAATAAATTTCCCTACATGATGATAGGTTTTAAGTATATACTTATTAAATATTATGGATACTGATATGAGAAATCACTCAATTGACCCCCTTCATGCCATATAACACTTTGAGCAGTTTTACTAAGAGTAAGATTAGATATGTGTTGATGTATTCACATTCTCTCATGTAATTTCCCAAATACATACATTTCAGGGATTAGGAAAACTGTTTATGGAGATAAACAGGCAAAAGCAGACCCAAAATATTGGCACTGGTACTTTTCAAATAAACAGTGATTGAAAGATTACTATGTGTCATGTTGTATGCCAAGGACTAAGGATATTTGCCTTAAATGAGCACAATCAGGTCAGGAGGAATAACTGACAGATAATTTCAGGCCAGTGTAATGGAAAGTGTCATGACAGAGGCACTCAAAGGGGCCATGGGGGCAGAGGAGAGGTTCCGTATAAGATACCAGTGTTCTTCTAATTCAACTGTTGACTTCCTGATCACCATGGGGCCTTAGGGACTCTGACCAAAGGGTAAGAGCCTAATTGGTAGAAAAATGCTCTTCCAAAGAACAAAACACACAGGTCATTTTCTCTGAAAGAAAATTCACATGATAGCACCTAGTATAATGATAAGGGCATGTCAGGCATTTTAAAAATGCTTGCCTAGTTAATACATGAGGACAGAGACTTCCTCACATTCTGGTGCAATTTGGTCAGAAGTGAAAGACAGTTCTTAGAAGAAGAAAAAAAAAATAAAACCAAGAAACTGCTGAACTCAGCTTTGTGTGCTGGCATGTCCAAAAGAAAATCTGTTAAGACAGGACAAGACCTCAACAGCCTGAAATAAATGCTTGATCTGACCAGGATGAGAAGGAAAGTTCCAAACGGGCAGGGCCAACTCTCACCTCCTTGATGCGCACCCCCTTCTCCCCTCTTGTAGCATCTAGTAGCAGCTTTCTGAGTTGTCTGTCATCCAGTGCCTTTGGGAGATTGTGCAGACAGAGTCTGGTCTGGGAGACAAAGATATTCTGGTCCTTGAGTTTCTGATGCTTTAGCAGCTCAAACTGAAAGAAAAACAAATTGTTAACAGTACAACCCACCCTTTAAAGAGAAAGGTTTGTAATTCTCCAAAAGGAAGAATCACAGCCCCCATCCCTTTCCTTAGAAAAAGGAAGGAAATGGCCTACCTGCAACCTTAGGTTGCTCAGCATAGGGAGAGAAAAGTTCACGGGACAAGATGGCGGGAAGGGGGTAGTAAGATACTGAGCTCTAGAGTCAGAGAGGAAAAAGAAAGCCAGCCCAACTGGAACACTGCATGAAAATTTAAAGGTTCAATTTTTCATCTACAAAATGAAACTGCAGATCAAGAACTCCCACCATTGACATGAAGCCAAAATGAGATCATAAACAAAATATCCTCAGCTCAAAATGCAGCCCAGAGTAAGAAATAATTATTTCTGTGGTTAACACCTATGCCCAGTCCTCAACAACCCACCAACTCAAAATAATTATCTAGTCCTTCCAAAAAGAAATTGAACTTACTCAAAGAATACTTGATATAACCTTGTCTCGTCTCAACTCTGCCACCCTGAGGCAAAGGAATGTCCACAACCACAGAAACATACTCAGCTTAGAGCAGCACCCTCAACTATGCTGGCATTTTAGATTTGTATCTACAATGAAATGAAAGATGACATTTTTCTCCTAACTGGTTCTTTAAAACTAAGTTAACAGATCAAAGATGAGGGTGTAAGGGAAAGAAAAAGAGAAAGAAAAAAATCAGAAAAAGGAAAAACCAAGTTACTAGAAAAAAGTTTTCAATTAAAGTTTTTCTTTCACTAGTCTTCTCAGTCCTGCTACTTCTTGTTTGGTAAAGGTACCAACAAATCACAAAATAAACAAATACTCTGGAAACAAATACATCTGAAGAGGCTATCATGTCTAAGTTCAATAGACTTTCTCCTAGGAGAAGCTGTCCTTACTGTGAATTTACAATGTATACATAGAAATACAGATATAATCTAGTGAGATTTTTGCTAACAAAATTAGTTATAAAATTAAGTATGTTGTTATTGCATTATGGTAAGAAAAGAGCATACAGTAACTCCCAAATACCATGGTTTCCAGATGCCCAAGACCAAAGAAGAACACTAGTCTGGAACCTGTGCACACTGAAAAAGGACACAGTGCCTTTTATTGTCACCCCTTTTCATCACCTCCTGCACGTTAAGGTGCCATAGCTAATTCTGTTAATGGTTATGCTTCTTTCTTTACCATTCTAGACTGGCTTAGCTTTTGGAAGTAAGTTATACAGCAAAAGTAAAAATCACTGAGAACTAACATTACCAAGCAGCAAAGGAATTCAATGGTATCAGTTAATGGAAACTCCTATAAGATGCCATTTTCCTAAAATGATTTTATAATTGGGAAATACCAATCCCTCCCAACTGACATCTTAGCTACCCCTTCCAAGAGCCACATCTCCTTCCTTTTCTATAACTCCAGCCCATACTCATCTTCCTTTCTTATGTTATTCTGCATTTATACTGACACCTAATTATATGCAGCCCTAACTTCTAAGTGTCTACAACATGAACTGGCAGAATGCTATTCAGCAAACATTCACTGTTGAGTGTTATGGAAACAGAATAAGATATGGTACTTAGACTGGCATGTGAGGCTGATATAATACTATATATAACGTTGGGTTATTTGCTGTTTTACCTATGTGCTTCTTTTCTAACAAGACTGTAAGTATGGTCTATGACCTATATTTGGCTCTTTGGTGAGTACATGTAGCATTCAATAATTATTTTTAATTGATCTATAAGCTATGCAGAACCTGAAGGCTGGTGCCTAATATACTTACCCGTTCTCTTTTGGCCATATCTGCGGCACTCACACCCTCTGCAGCCTTCGTCCCAGCACGAATCACTGCAGAAATAGGGAAAAAGGCCAAGATATCAACAAGGGAATTTTCACTGAGCAACAAGAAGAATGTGATTTGAATGATGCAAGCTCTTTGTACAGGGCCCAGAGGACTATGTTGGCCAGGACATGGTGGCATTTGGTTAGGTCCAGAAATAGGATACAGGGCTAAGTTCTGGGTTCAGAGCTGCTCTCAATAACTAAAACTCTGAACATTTTGTGATTTTGTTGTTCTTCTCCTTATCTCCCCTCAAAGAAACTTCATGTGCATGCCCAAAATCAGATGCAAAGGACTGAGAAATGTAATGTACATTTTAGGTACTTGGAATGAAAAATGTTCTGTCCATAATCTGCTCCTGGAATGTAGCTGTTCCTTATATTCTTGGGGGCCATTATTAAGCCCTAAGATAAGGCAGCCTAGAAAAGGCTATCATCATCATAGATAAACTAGTATCGAAGGCAAACTACCATTACTAGTCTAGGCTGTTAAACTATGCAGGAAGTAAGCTAATAAACATGATAAATACTGTGAAACCTAGAAGAGATTTTCTTTCTTTTTTTTTTTTTTTGAGACAGGTTTTTTCTGTTGTTTGGGCTAGAACTGCAACCTCGAACACCTAGGCTCAAAAGACCCTCCTGCCTCAGCCTAACTGAGTAGGTGGGACAACATTTGGGTATCATCATGCCCAGCTGATTTTTAAAAGTTTTTTGAGAGATGGGTCTCACTATATTGCTCAGGTTAGTCTTAAACTCCTGGTCTCAAATGATTGTCCTTTCTTGGCCTCTCAAAGTGCTAGGATTATAGGCATGAGCCACTGCACCCAGCCAGGGATATATTTTTTTTAACCTTGAAGCTAATTTCTGATTATCTTTCCAACATTAAAAGTATCAAATGTACATTTTAAATCCACAAATTAATCTGAAAGAATTTTAGACATAATGAAAACCTCTTATTAGAAATGATAACAAGCAGCAAAGGTAATTTGAGTTTTCCTCCCTCTTTCCCTTGTCAGTCCTCCAAGGAAAAACCAAAGGCAACCATGCAGGAGAGAGAATGGGACTGGTTAGGCCACAAAATGGTTGAAGGTTTCCTAATAGAAAGCCACATCTAGTAAAGTAGAATGACAACATAACATCATTAAAGATTACTTTGGGGTTTTTAATTTTAAACATGATCTAAAAAATACTATTGCTGGATCACGGTAATGGCACAAGGCTGGCCATGCAGAAGGCTGGTTCACATCTCCATTCCCCTACTCACAGCCTTCTCGGGCCAGGTAGAGGTTCCGGGTTCCTGTTGGCTTCTTCACTTTCTTTGTCTGAAGCTTTGCAGCCTCATCACGGGTTACTGCCAAGTCAATCTTGAGCTGCCGGCCATCCAATTTAAGCCCACCACCCTACAAAAAACACATAATGAAACCGAACCCCTAACCAGGAACACTAAGGAAAGAGAAATGGCAAACCCTAATTATCCTATAGAAGCCAACATCCTGGAGGTCTGAGCCCAGCCGGCTACAAGCAGATCACTGAGCCTCAATATTTAGAATAGCTGTGCAAAAGGCCACATGTGTATTTAGGCAGTAGGCAGTAAAGAATTTATTTTATTGGAGTTGATTAATCCCAAAGTAGGCCCAAAATGAAAAAAATGACCTGTAAACAGGCAAAATTTTAGTATTCTAAAGAAAGCTAATTAAACAGTAGTTTACTCAAGAGAATTTAAGAAACAATGGCAGTACAGATTAACGTTATCTCAAAACAATTTAGACTTGATTATAGAACACACACAAAAATTCTCTGTCACCCACACACTTTTTCTTTTGAACATTTACTCTACTTAATAAATCAAATCAGCTTAATACCTTCTTGTCCCAGTCTTTCATGTTATCAATCTAGGATTGAGGGTGACACACAACCAGTAACTATCAGACACATTATAATTCCTGTTTCCTCACTTGTGAAGTAGCAATAGTAATTCTACCTACCTTGTGGCTCTGATATAAGGATTAAATGAGGCAATACATGAAAGGTCAGGGTCTAGGACACATTAAGTACTCAATAAATGTTAGCTTTATTATTATCAATAGTAATAATAACGCTTTGCATAAACATTAGATGTTACTGTAGGAGTCACTACTCCTGTGTTAAAGGGTAAAAGAAGTATCTTTCCTACCTCATTCTCTGCAGAAGCAGCACTAAGGCATTTCTGAGCTGCTTCTTGAGTCATGAACTGGGCAAATGCACAACCTGCAGAGATACAAAATTAAGTGAGATCCTAAACTCCCACAGCCCAGCAGGAAGCCAATAGTAACACTACAGACACAGCAGGCTGACACAGAGCAGAAGGGGTAGGTAGCATCGATTTACTAAGTACAGCCGTGCACCATATAATAACAGACATTTCAGTCAACAACAGACCATGTATATATGATGGTGGTCCCATAAGACTATAATGGAGCTGCCCTATATAGGTGGAAATTTTTTAATCTTTTATACTGTATTTTTATTATATCTTTTCTTTGTTTAGATATACAGATACTTACCTTTGTGCTACAATTGCCTATAATACACATTACAGTAACATGCTGTGCAGGTTTGCAGCCCAGGAGCCACGGGCCATCCTATACAGCCTAAGAGTGTAACAGGCTTTACCCCTAGGTTTGGGTAACACCATGATGTTCACACAAGAACAAAATCATCTAAGGATGCATTTCTCAGAATAGTGATGCATAGTGAACTATGAGACAGGCAGTACTTCAGGTGTTGTAAGGTCAAAAACAAGTAAGGTGCCACACCTGCTTTCAATGAAATCTTATTATTACTTCTTCATCTTTTCTATGCGTCTCAGAACTTTAATCTCATTACTTCCTCTCCTTAATAAGAAATATTCACATGAAATGGTAAGAGAAATTCTAGCCTAACACTTAATTCAGCATCACTTATGGAGAGCTTATTAGAGGACTAAAAAATGAGGCAGGAATGACTTATGCCTGAAATTAGATACAGATCTCACTGTGTCACAGTCACTTGGAAGGCATCAGATGAGGATAGATCTACATCCTGGGGTGAAAGTCCTAGCCTCTACTTCACAAATACAGCCAGGAACCAGACAGCTGTGAACTCCATTCTTGGCTCACACTCTAGAATTTCCCACAAGACAAGTCTTGGTTGAACAGATGCAGGGCCACTTGACCCATTTGAATTTGTTACTACCAAAAAAGCAGTTTTTATCAGCAAAGGAAAGTTCACCTTATAGTAGATTCCAAAAAAAAGAAATATATAGCTCATAATATTGTGTTAGTATTTCTTTTAACTTTAAATATCCTCTAATATATAAAAACAGTGCCGCATTTCTGGGGCACTGATCTTTAAGGATAGGCAGCAAACTGAAAGGACACATGGGGGAGGCCAAGCAAGCCAAGGATTACCATCGAGGGGCTGAGTGATCCTACTTCTGTATTCTTACTCACCTCCTATCTTCTACTGACATCTTGATTATAAACACTGGCCAGGTGGCATCTTCTCAAACAGAATGAATGCCCCAAAGAGGACCACATATTTTGGTTGTTTCTATATTCCTACCACTTCCCAAGTGTACACAATAGATAATCAATAGAAAGAAACAAATAATAAAAGAGAATAATGGGAAAAAATATTTCTAATAGGAAGATAAGCCCAGTCATTCGATATGAAAAAAATAAGTACTTCTCTCTGAATGGAAGACTCTTACACTGGAATACATCTAAGGTGGCGGGTTCAAATCCAGCCCGGGCCCGCCAAACGACAATGA